AGAGCACGATGTGGATCTAATCCCTCGTTCAAAAACACCTATTTAAATGTGTTTTCGTTTAAAAGTTTTGAGAGCCATATAAAAATTAAGTAGAGATTATATCTTAAAAATTTGAGATTTGAAAAATAAGAGCTAGCGTGGATTTTTGTCTAAGGAGTAAATAAATAGTAGGCTCGAGAGAGTAAAAACATCTTTCGTGTGGAGTGAGGCAATATTACGATACTTAAATTACCGTAATACTACTTTAAAGTATTACGGTATTTTAATTATCGTAATACTCTATGTTATTACGGTAATTAAAGTACCGTAATAGATGTTTATGTTATTACGGTACTAGAATTACCATAATTCTGTCTCTATTTACAACAGTATTTTAATTATCGTAATGGTCACAATGCATTACGGTAGAAAAGACTACTGTAAATGGTATTTTTGTCCAAAAAATGTCGAAAATTGAGAAAAAAGATGTGGGCGAGGTTTTAGGAAGTTTAGAGTTTTTTGTGATTTTCTTAAAATTAAAGTATATTAGCGAAAAATTTCCCATTTTTTAAACCTTAGAGAAAATTTAATCCTTGCAAATGTCTTTTTTAAGGAATTGGTTTATCTAGAAATTAAAGTGATATCGTTCGATGAGGGTAAATTCTTGGGAAATTAACTTCCTTTGTCCAATAAATTTGAGAATTCGCTTTATGTGCAAGTCATAAAGCGGCTTATTTTTCTATCTATTGTTGATGTTTCAATTCAATGAAGGAGATTATTTGAAAATAACACACTAACACACTTAAAGTAGGATTATGACAAACAAAATGAATGATTCATATGACGATTTCTTAAATTATAATAACTAATGCACGTAGACATGCAATGAGAGATAGAAGACTGAAAAAAAGATTAAAACAACAAAAGATACGTTAGGTTCAAATGTCATTTTAACGAAGCGGCCAATAAAATAAGATATTTGTAAATATAGTAAATGGTGCTTTGGATAGAGCCGAGGCTCTAAACAATCAAACTAAAGCCCACCTTCAAATAGTGTCGAGAAATATGGTTCCAATACGGGAAATCTTTGTGATAGCTTTAAAATATGTTTTCATATTTAATTATATAATTTAAAGCTTAAAAAATAGTGTCGATCGAGCAGATCTATGAAAATTCCAAAATCTTGAAAATTGACGGTCAAAAAATGCTTTAAAAGATGCACTATTTTCAAAACTGGAAATCCATTTTTTTTCTCATGTCCATGCATCTTGATATCGAGATGATCAATTTGAGGATATTTGGACATCAATTTGAGAATTTTTTAGGTGGGCTTTAATTTGATTGTTTAGATCCTCGGATTTATATAACCGTTTTTCTAAAATAAAAGGGAAAAGAATATTATAGTTAAACAGTAGGAGCAATTGACTAATTTATAAGAAATTTAAAAATTAATCATAGACTATTTTGAAAGCACGAGACTTTCACAGTAAAATTTACTCTGATCTTTCTATTTTGAAACGTCTTTAAAACACAACAAAATGACTTATGAAAAAAAAACTTGAAAGCATTAATTTCGAGCTCTCAAGAGGTAAAAGATTCTAAAACTAATCTATATTCTAATATTATAATTAGAAAATAAATTAGCACAACCTCCATACGATACACTAATGAGTATGGGGTCATGCTTATAGGAGTCTTCTCATTTGTTCGATAGGCCCATAGTGTGTCATTTAACTTTTCATGTCAATTGGAAAAAAGGTACAATTTGGACACCGGTAGTCATCCAAAGGTGTAGACCTGCATCCCAATTTCATAAGAAGTAAACAAAGGAAATTAATTATTTACCCAAGATAGCATGAAACAATGGAAAAAAATTCTCAAAGAGTGCTTTTCTTTCAAGTGAAACAATAACAATTTACAGATTAAAGAAATAAGCCTATTCAAATCAAATATGCTTGCAAACAAACAATAGCAATTTATACATGATGCGCATGGTAGGAATGAGTAGGTACAGAAGAAACAATGGAATCATGTGGTATGGTTTGGTGATCCAATGGAAAGGCTAGCAGACAAAAAAACAAAAGATTCATGCAGAGCCACCTCTGCTTAGGGATATAGTTAGATATGAAACCTTCTAAGCATATTGCCCAATGGTATGCCAAGATCGTATATGCCCCTTCCCCCCTAAAAAAATAAAAAAACAAAAACACGGTACACCCCACCACACTACACCACACACTAACACAAAATGTGAATGCTGTAAGGCGTAAAAATGATTAATGAGTTTGAACCTCACCCACCAAAAAAAATCCCTTCTTGTTGATGTTAGTGTATAGAAGTTAACATTAACCTCCACTAACATCCTAAAATGGTGAAAAAATTCCCCAGAAATCTCCAAACTGTAATTTTAATGATCGCCCAAAAGTTGAGCAGAACACCCAAGAAGCCATCATCAAGTGCTTACCTTTCAATTTCCTGAAGACTGATTCTTTTGTGTTGCTCTGGAACAAGTCAACACATACTATGTTACCCTCTTGTCTAATACTAATTAACACTTTCCTTCAAATACAAACTTATGTCCCTTTTCTAATTCCTTTAGCTTATTATTTTCCAACAAAAGCTCTAAGGTCAAGGAACCCTGATTTACAAAATTATGCAGTAATATCTATTTTATTACCTCTTTCTTGCTAATTATGGGCATTCACAATTCTTCAAGTAAGTCAAACTAAATTCGTCCTCTTTTTTTATCAAGTATCAAAAATTCTTTCTTGAAGTCTAATTAACTCCAATTTATTAGAATTATTCCATTACAAATACTTTTGAAATGTGCATCCCGCAATTAAAAAAAAAAAAAATTAAACAATAGCATCTCCAAATTCTTATAACCTTACCCAAAAACAATAACGTCACACGAGTCACTATTAAAAAAAAAAAGAAAAAAAAGAAAGAGTAAATCACCTGAATCTATGTTTACTTTTCTTTTGATCGGTGAGTTTATGTTAACTTTCAAAGCAAAAATGTCAACAATTGTGCAATGCAAAACCAGACAGACTGACAAAAACCAGGCAATCACTAATCAACACTCCCAAGTCGATGAACACTCCTTCCAAATACCCCGGATTTATAAATTGGCCACTGTAACTGAGGAAGACCCCGAATGTAATCCACAAAATGCTCAGTTTCTAATTGTGGAATAGTTCTATCATAACAAACTTTGTCAATCAAGCAATATCTCAATGGAAACCCTAAACACACCCAGTTTATCATTGTTCCATGGTCCATGAAAATAGATTTCTATTTGCCCTAAACACTTCAAGTTGTTGTTTTAGTCAATGGTATTAATTATACTGATCAGAAACCACAAAGAACAATGATAATGAAGAGGATCAGAAGCTTTATTCCACATCACCAAAATCAAATTGTTGTGCACCTTAGTACTAATATGCTTTCTTCAAATTCTTCCCCAGACACGAATGCATAAAAAGAGAAAACCATCAACTTTTAAGATTTCAAAACCACGAACTTAACAGATTTCACAGACTTTGACCAAGCAGCCAGACATTGAAACCTCAAAAATGTCCATCTTAATATGCATAAATTTCTGCACAAAACTAAACAACGTGACTTCTCTCCTCCTTTGACTTGTTAATTGGCCACAAACCAATAGATTGTTTACTGGAAACACAGGACCTCCGAGTGTGAGGTCACATCCAAACCAAAGCCCCGCCACCAAAATTCACAAAATAATTTTTCTTAAAGAAAAATAGGATAGTTAAGTCTATGTATAAGGATTAACTAAATATGACCACAAGATAAGACAAGCATTTACAACTCCAAAAACACATAATCCATCAAACACAGGTAATTCTTCTGCCCCATCTCAAACGAGATATTGAAACAAATCAATAAAAACCATTAGACCCAGATTGATCAGAGAGGATGTTTCAAATAGTAGTGATGTAGAGTTTCAATCGATATGTAAAAAAAATAAAGGAGAAAATAATAGAAGGCATGAAACTTAACCTGGTGCAGACCAGGTCAAAGAAGCGATCAAGCCAAGCCAATCTTCACAACACTTAGGTCAAGTGAACACAATATATATCACAGAGAGATAAAGAGATAATCTTTAAATGCAAACTAGCAAAAAAAGCCAGATTTACAGCATTTGAACAAACATCCGATTTTTCATAGCAAAAAACGCAGATCAGTAATGAATACCCCAAATGCAAACCCATCACGGGGTTTTCAAACCAATAACCCATAACAATTCGTACCTCTGTGACTGCGATTAAGACAGAGCTTTCACTTCTGTTCTCGTATGAGAGGCGCAGAGAGAGGGAGACGTCAGTTTGGTAGTGCTTCCCCTGTATTTCTGGTTCAGAGAGAGAGAGTTCGCGAGGGTTTACAGCATTTGAACAAACATCCTATTTTTCATAGCAAAAAACGCAGATCAGTAATGAATACCCCAAATGCAAACCCATCACGGGGTTTTCAAACCAATAACCCATAACAATTCGTACCTCTGTGACTGCGATTAAGACAGAACTTTCACTTCTGTTCTCGTATGAGAGGCGCAGAGAGAGGGAGACGTCAGTTTGGTAGTGCTTCCCCTGTATTTCTGGTTTAGAGAGAGAGAGTTCGCGAGGGTGTATTAGGGCCCCTGTAGTTTGTAAAAGATAGAGAGGAAACTAGGCGCGAGGGAGAGATAGGGTTCCTCTGGTTTTAGAAAGAGAAAAGGAATGGTTTTTTATTTCGTGTGGTTTAGAGAGAGAAAGGGAGTGGATGCATCGGTAGAGAGAGAAAGATGAAGTATAAGAAAGGCTTGAGGCAGGTAGGCTTGCCATCTCTGGACAGTAGGTGGGAGTGTAAGCTGGAGTTTGCAGGCCTAAGCTGTCTCTATTTCAAATGGAGTTTCCCTTCTGCAAGCTAAAGTTTGCCCTTTTGAATGAGGAGCCTTGATTTTAAATACGTTAATCCGGGCCGTTGGCACACCACAACCAAATACGCGAATTCGCATATCCCATCTTTTCGCGTACTACTACAGTAATTGCCAACGGTCCAGATTGAATCTAGGCCGATCTAACAATTCCGAATATATGATAGTGTTTAAATTTTAATACATGAAAAACATCGATCAAAATACCTATGAAAAGTCTTAGGGGTATTTTAATCAAAATATTTTTGTAGATTATTTTTTTTATATTTTTATTAGGTGCACCTTGATGAGAAGAATATACACTTAAAATTTCAAGTGATTTATATTTATAAAAAAAAATTTAAAATTCAAACACGAAAAGAGGTCATGACCGTCATATCGGCCTAAATTCAATATGGGCCATTAGCGTTTACTGTAGCAGTCAGCTAATGGGTGTACAGAATCCACTTATATATATATATATATATATATATATATATATA